ACGCATTGGCGCCGGGCCTGCAGCGTCGAATGACGTGGTGTGGCCTTGACTGCTTCGTCGATGATCGAGAGATGTCGCAAGTTAGTCCGGGCGTTGTAGAAAAATACGTGCGCACTAAGACGCCAAGGGGGAGGGGCACTTTTGCTGTTCACCTATGAAGGAGAGTTCAAGATGTGCCCCATATATTGACTATGTAAGGTGGGGGATCTGCTACTGTGAAAATATGGAGCAGATCATGTGGAAAGTGGATCTTGACATAAGCATTACCTCTTTGTGTCTCTTTTTGCGGTATCAGTCCGATGCTCTGACGAAATATAGTTTATTTCGTCAGAGCATCGGACTAGATACCACGAGATGGGAAGCGCGGACAGGTGTGATAGGTGGGGTGGCAAAAGGGGAAGAAATATGGACGCATAATATTAAAAAAATGCCGCCATATCCACGAAGTGAATGATGATGAGTGGGCGAAGCTCCGGAGGTAAACCTGGTAAACCATGAATCCTCCGTACATTTCGCCCACTCGATTTTATTGCAACGCTCCCCCTAGCGTACGTCGCCGCACTATATCGAACGATGACACGCGCCATATGTGGCATCATTCCTATTTTATAACACCTCGCATCTTTCATAATCAAATACACGTACCGCCGTCTAGTTTATAACATCTTGCATCTTTTGTGACGGATGGACGGACGGATGGACGGACGGATGGACGGACGGATGGACGGACGGATGGATGGACGGACGGACGGACGGACGGACGGACGGATGGACGGACGGACGGATGGACGGACGGACGGATGGATGGACGGATGGATGGACGGACGGACGGATGGACGGATGGATGGACGAACGGACGGATGAACGGATGGATGGATGGACGGATGGATGGATGGACGGACGGACGGATGGATGGACGGACGGATGGACGGATGGATATGGCTGTATACTTTAGATCGGGCGGTGGCTAGCGTAATACTTAGAACTGAACGAGAGGTGGCTACATACAGGGGACGCACAGCCCACGCCTTAAGGAGCTTCGCTCCTAAAAAAATTGCCCAGGACAAGGTAGGTTGAAGATTCTTGGGAAGAGGCCTTGGCCCAGTAATGGACATGACAGATGTTGATGAGCAGTAGCTTGAGCTCGAAACAATCGTTCAGGCTGCCATATAGTGCACGGATAGGGGCGGGGGAGAAAGGGTGATGGCGTTGACATTTAGTTTGGTAACATAGGAACCAATACACAAATAGTTGGTAAATGAAATGATCCCACCTTGGTCCCCCTCATCATCACCAGACTGACTACGTCCACTGCAGGACAAAGGCTTCTCCCATGATCCGCCAGTCAACTCGGTCCCGTGCTTTGCTGCTGCCACTTCGTACCCGCAAATTTCATAATCTCATCTGCTCATTTAACTTTCTGTCTCCCCCTTGCCCGCTTGCCTTATCTGGGAATCCAGTCAGTTACCCATAATGACCAGCGGTCATCCTGCCTACGCACTACATGCCTGGCTCATGTTCATTTCTTCTTCTTGATTTGAACTATGTATCCTTATTCACAATGAAATATTGGGAGCGCAAACTAACGGGATTCAGCGCTCGTTTGTTTACTCTCTTGTGTCTTGTTCGCGCTCCCAATATTTCATTATGAATATATACCATTCTTAAATAATATCTACCATTCTTCAATGATATCCTTAACCCCAGTTTGTTCCCTGATCAACTCTGCACTCTTTTTGTCTCTTAAGGTTACACCGTTCATTGCTTATATGGAACCAGCGGCAAGATTGCAACCTCCTCCCCCTTCAATGTGACTACGAAATACGACAGTTGTCACCTCCAAGAGGGAGGGGGTTGAAATGTTTGCACTGGTTGCACATCAGCAACGAATGGTTCTTTTGCTCACCGCGAGATGACGCTATAAAAGGGCCTGTAATTGCTTTTGCTCCCGCTTCAATGCGCTGCCAGCAGCCACCGGAGCGCGCAGGCCACGTGCTCCTTTGTTTCATTTGATAAACATTCACACTGTGCAGGTGACTGTCCCCACACCAGTGCAGATTTCAATATACTACTGAAACAGGATGCACTCTGGTGTATCAATCGCTTGGTACTACTGGTAGTTTATTCATATACTGAGAAGTTCGTGGAGCTGAAGATTCCACATTTTGCCCAAATTAGGGTTTCGCAGCATTTTGCCATGTAACCAACATGCAGGCAATATAATAAAAAGGCATTTCAAAAAATTTATTTCGCTTTTAGACGGTCTTTTACTGGGACAACTAAGAGAAATCATCTAAGGGCTGGGTTCGAAACGTTGCAAACTAGATTTATAGTCTACATATGCCATATAATTTTCATATTTACGACAGTTTCACATACTACGCTGCATGCGTTCAGCGCAGCTCATATTCCTGACCAAACCCTAACTCGGGGATGATTTCACAAGTATGGCAGAACCTTACTGCGTCACAATCAAATAAATTGTTATTGTGATATATGTTTAAAATGAAGGCAATCTGAAAGTCTTGGAGGTAGTACAGTGAGAATCACTTTTGTTGTTTATTAAAAATGATCACCGATGTGCTATCGTCGACACTTAAAAAGGTGAATGCATCATTTAAATGGTTGCTGCTTTCCTTCCGGCAGTCAAACAAGTGGATGTTTTCTCTTTCTTTTGAGAAATCATGAGTTCACTATAATGAACTTACTCGACATCATATACAGCGTAAACCCAAGACATGCGCTATTACTGCTCCTGTGTTCTTTTTTATGTTCCTTGTGTACCTGTTTGACCTCACTGGCCACCATTTTATGTAATGCTACTTATGCCTGTGGCTACCGAGCGGCCATGAAATGGCCAAAAAATTACAAAGGAACTTGGATAATTTTGCGTAACTCTTTCATGCCATTCACGTAGCATAAGCCATAAACAAGCACATAAATCTACTTGACCACCTGACATAGGTTTGTATTTGTATGAATCCATCTTTTCAAGTTTTCTCGCGCTATCACTAATGCCCATTAAAAAAAAAAAGATGTTCTGATGTTAGGAACATTTCTGTAGCAGATTGCGCAGATGCCACCGAAAGGTGATCCATGAACTTCAATCCACCTTATGCCATGTGTACTCTTTCGTTTCATTCAATTCGAAGCAAGATTAAAACTAATAAAAACTGAAACTATATAGCCATAAATCTACAAAGAAAGAAGGGTTGGTTTACCACTGTAATTACGCAAAATTAGAGCCTTCACATGCCTGTCTATACACCTGGCAATTACTGGTTTTATTGATTTGATTTTAAGCTTTTAACGAAGATTTACGGACGAAACTAGTCAATGCACATTGGAGATTTGTCACATAAACGGTGAAACAGGGTAAATATAGTAAGAGGATGTTAGTAATAACAAGCGAAAGTGGGACTTATGAAGACGAAATGAGTTCGCAGGAGGCCGACGAGCGTGATAGATTTCGTGGGCCGATTTGGGTGCACGTTAAAGAACCCCAGGTGGTCTAAATTTCCGGAGCCCTCCACTACGGCGTCTCTCATAATCATATAGTGGTTTTGGGACGTTAACCGCACATATCAATCAATCAGATTTCGTGGGCCTCAGAACGTCGACGGGTTGCGTGGTCAGCGGGCGAGAAGGAGAACATTCGACCCAAGAAAAAAGTGGGACAGAGCTGGATGGCATCAGACCGGCAGCGACGAGCTTGGAATTTCCCTGCGGTGAACGGGTGTTGCGGACCGGGTGTTGCGGGCTGTTCCTGTGGTGGCTGTGCATGTGGTCAGGGGCGAAAAGCTGATCTTGAGTCAGGCGGTGTGTCCGACTTCAACCGTCTACCGAAGACATGGCGATAGTGCCGAGTAGGCTGGGGACCAGCCATATTCCACCTAGATCAGTCCTGCTCAATGCCACCGTGACGTCACTCATGTTGACCGAGTGAGTGCGCGTACCGGAGTGTGAATCAATTACCACAATCGTCCCCCTGTAAGAGATACAGCGTTCGGGGCGACTTTTACATTCTGCCTTTTGGATAAAAAAGGCACTAGTTTAGGTAAAGTATTGCGCTGTAAAGCATTTGGAGACTCACCTGTGAGCCATTTCTTCCATGAAAGAGCCAAAGATTGACGCTATCGATCGTGTGGTTGATCTATAGGAATGAGTTTTATGAACCAACAAATTGACAAAATAAATACGGTGAATATAATTCATTCTTTATTTGCATACAAACGCACACACATCTAGAGCACGCAGAGAAACTGTTCCTATCTCATTTGCATAGTTTTGCAGTTTTATTTGTACTCTTTAGAACATGTCTCTTCAGAGACACGTAGTTATGGAGCAGAGTGTGTGATGCTGCCACAAGTATGATATTCAGCACAATATCAGGATGATGATGCACTGCAAGTGGAAAACTCTTTCGTGACCGACACAAGAAGCGGCGTTCCCACTTTCACGAGAGCGAGCGTAGGCACGTCTGTGATAGCGAAACACGCCGGTGAAAACAAAGTGACGTAAGAGCTCGTGACTGACACAGTGAGCCGGCTTGAAATAATCTAGGTGGCATTGGTCCGGATCAAGCGACTGCTGAGTTCCCTCCTGGCGCAACTGATCACGTGGCCACACTGCTACGCCGGGCGCACCGTGGTCCGATGAGCGAGCAGTTTAAGATCTGTTGTGCTCTCGCGAACCACTGATCGTGTCATCTCCTGCTGCAAGGTTGCGTCGCCTTCATCTCTCAGCACCGTCAGTGACGTCACATGGACCTCATAGTCAGATAGATAGAATGTGGTGGTTGTTCGCATGAGCGTTGGTGAGTACTATAAGGACAGGACGTGTTGGAAGTGTAGCTGTGCTCTTGACCACCGCAAGTGTATGCACCTGTAACTTTGTCTTGTCGACAATATTTCCATGACCTCGTTTTTCGTATCTGAGGGCCGAAGAACAGCTATACTGTAAGCTATAGTTCTGTCAATAAAAAAAGCATTCGTGGTCAATTTTATCACGAGCAACACACACATTCACTTTATTTTTCGACGTAGCCCCAGAGACGCACATTCTGAAAGTGTTCGGCTTTATCATGAAAGGACCGTTGGTGATGGTCCCAGTCGTAGTCCTCCTTTGTCCCACCATATTCCTTTGGTAGACTCTCTAAAGGGAAAACGTCACTGAGCTCAGACAGGCCACCTTTAACCAAGTGAACCTGAAACAATGCATGAAATAGACGAAACGTGATTGCACTTGCATTAGATTAGAATAAGAGCGAAATTATATATGCCTTGTAACATAAGGTTAGATGTGCATAACTTTAACCCTTTCCCTTCCTCGTGTTTTCACCGCAGACGATGCAAAAAATGTACGTGTATTTGCCTGTTGGAATCTACGTGCCCAAAAATAACAAAAACTATTTAGGGCACTTCATTCCGACTTTTTCAGTAAAAAATACATTGGTGGATCCCACACCTCGTGAGAATCGGTTTGATGTGAAGCAGAGGTCAAGTAATGGTCTATGTTGCATTTTTCGTTTGACTTTGAGGCTAGTCTTACAAGGTGGATCGATGTTAAATGCCTTAGTTGCGTGCACGTTGCGGCCTTCACGGGAACATGCACTACAATGGCGTCCACTGGTGACAACACTGCAGCTTTTGGTCGGACATAACGTCAGCAACGATCTTTGAGTACAGACGTCAGTGTATCGAAATGATCTGTGCTTCATGATTTGACGATCTGAGTATAGGGAGTTTTAGAATAGCGGGCGCCATACGAGTTTTAGAATAGCGTTTACCCTACTGCAAACCGCGACGCACAATCGCAGCAGAACCGTAGCATCGAAACGACTGTTTGCGGGCCGCATGCGGGCCGCACACACGGCCGATATTTCGTATTTTTTGTGGGCGGGCCGCGAATGCGAACGGCGACTTGCGTTACGACGCATGTGCAGTGGCAGCGACAGCAGCGCAAGGGCTCGCGGGGCGCTATTCTAAAACTCCTTTACGACTCGTATCTTTCTTTAGCGTGTTCCCCCGACGTTGAACAACACTTCGATATAGCTTGCTGAAGTGCAAGAATAGAAATGTCATGCTTGTTAGACTTCTATGAATACGGAGCCAACATTGCCACCAGAATCGTCATTAACCCGGTATAATGTCTGCACCATAAGTCTCCCTGTGTCAATGTTGAATGATTTGTTATGAAATTAGCCAGCAATGCAACCACAACTGCACTTGCATCAATCTTACGCCTTTATAGTGCTTTTTTTTTTCAAAGTGGTTTCAAGACCTGGCGTGGCTCTATGGTCTAATACCTGATTGCCACGCGTAACACTTCGATTTGATTGCTGCTGGCATCTTGTTTTCTTTTTTTTTAAATCTTTGCAGACGTCGGCTTAACGCTGGCTATTTCGGTTTCTCTTAACGCTCTCACAGTTAAGTTACTCAAGTATGTCCTTGCTGCTCTGGGTAGATAAAAAAATCGGCAGTTGTGACGTACCTTAAGAATCCATGTTATGCGAAGGTAAGTGTGTTGTAGTTGTTTATCGCCAAAACGTTACCAAGTGGAGCTAAACATATGTACAAATACGCACAGTGGCAAGTAATAAACAGCTGCATATGTTTTATATAACCACTTGTTTCTAGTTGCTTAACCATGCTAACAGCAACATAAATATTAGCAACACCTTTGAACCTCCTTGTCCTCGACACTGCTGCATTAATATGCTTCTCTGGATAGCTCGTATTTAAAATTGATGTTAACCCGACGTGCCGGCTGTATTATAAGAGTAGATATGTATTGTTTATCGCGTCAAAAGAGTAGATATGTATTGTTTATCAAACTGGATCGCCAGCACCGCAACGACAATCGACGTTTCACGAACAGTTGGGGGCATTTGAAAAGTAAATCCGAGGCTTGGCGTTGCTCTGAGGCATAACACTTGATTTTCACACAGAACGCTGGAGTTTGATTTTTTCTGGGACCCTGATATTAATTAGTTGCACTTGCCGGGTCAAAGCTGCCGATATCAGCTTTTTCTTAACGCTCAGGCATTAAAATTACCCATGTCTGTTCTTGCCGCTCCATGGTAGATACCAAATGGTAATAATACCCTGTGTCACGGGCATACCCGCATACCTGCGGCCCATACCTTCCCGTGGGCGTGTGCCACACATCTAGATGAAAGAGTTTGACGACGTGCGCGATAGAATTGTGACATTACTTATGTAATCACCAGCGTGTCATATTGGCCAAACTATCTTACCCTTCCAATAATTTTGGTTAATAATTTTAGTTGAGCCCAAGTTAAGGGGGTGATCACGAAAGCACCCAGACGTAGATGATAGATAGATAGATAAAGAAATATATATATATATATATATATATATATATATATATATATATATATATATATATATATATATATATATATATATATATATATATATATATATATATATATATATATATATATATATATATATATATATATATATATATAGATATGCTCAATGTCACCGAAGTTTGCTAAGAAATGCTTCGCATTTAATAACGTGTGGTGCCAATGCGCTTACCACGGCTTATGGACCTCGTGCAAAGTGTATGAAACGGGCACTCGTGGAATAGGTTTGACGACCCAGGGGGCAACATTTTCACGTTATTCATGTCGTGACCAGCTTGCAGTTCTTTATTTGAATAGTCTCTTTTAGGCCTGGGACGCATAGCAGGTCGCTTACTACTTAGGTTCCAAATAATGTGATAATTAGTGCCATTCTTTGTTCTTCTGCTAGCCTATTCATTGTAATGTGAACCCCATTCTTATTAAGTGCTTTTTTTAAAGGCAATAGTGTTTTTTGGTATAATTTAACGCAAAAGCTTCGTTCTGTCTGTCCGTCTGTTAGTCTGTCAGCCGCACGATTCAGCCACCCGGCGAAAGTTAAGGCAGCTTCTCAACGCCTAGGCATGTTGATCCACTTGCTGCGTTCATACTTATGAACATTCTCAATCATAAAGGAAGTGTTACCCATATTTTAAATAAACATCAACATGTAGGCAATATGAAGCGGATTTCTTTATTTGTAAAATGTATAGATACATGATTCTAAAGACCGAAGCACTGACGATGCAGCGCTGTGAACTAAAACGTGGGTGTTTTCTACACTTCATTAGGACTAGAGTTACTCTATATGCTACCTAAAGGAAGCATATACAATAACTTCTAACTAACACGACACGGTGCTGCCACCTACGAATGAATATTACGGCCAGATGACTTCAGTATCTCACGTAGCAGAGAGAGCCTTCATGTGCGTGTAGCCTCCGTAGGCGGCGCCACGCACATGAAGGCTCCTAGCCTAGTCACCGATTTTGTTGCGCACAGCGTCAAATAAACACTTCATTTTTTTCTCAACAGACACAAAACTATTGTCTTTAGACGGCCGTTGCCAACGAAGCATAAAGATCGCAGCGAATTGTTCTTTGGAATACGAAGCAATTCCTCGATACTTTAGCGCCATAGCGTATGTAATATTCCTATCTGAATTTGTCCCATTAAGAGCCGATACTTTGCAGCTAATTTGGTGCATAAGGAAGGCATTATGAGCCCTAAGCAGTATGTCCTGCCATGTTCCACCTTTTCTACCGGAAACTCTCACGAATGTTTGTTTTGCGTCATTGGGGTTGGATGAGCTATGACGTTGTGTTACATCCTTAGACGTCTATTGAAAGACGCAACATATTAGTTCAACAGCTCGCGGGAAGTCACATCCGTCTCTGTTTGGAATTTAAAGAATGACCCGGAGGGACAAGCGAGGCCTTGCAAGCAAACCATAGAATGCATCAGCGGTGGTCGGTGTACATCTGTCGACGGGCAATGGCGATGTGTCGAGAAATGGTCACCATCCTAATTCGACGATTAAGAGAGAATACGCTGCTTTGTGTAATTGGTGCCCCACTTGTTGGTGAAATGAGATTTTTCATTGTACATACCTTGGGTAACTGAGAAATTTCGTGTGTTTTTTGCTGACATTTTTGATGAAGGCAAAAATGCTTGAGGCTAATGTACTTATATTAATCTGCACGTACCCCAGGTGCTCGAAATTTCCCGGGCTCTCCACTACAGCGTTCCGCAATATCATATGGTGGTTTTCGTACCCCAAAGTTAGTGGAAGTTATCTTTATTTTATTTTTTTCTAAACAGAGTGGTTGGCAGCATGCTCGCGCCACCGGCGCACAGAGCAGGACATCGATAGTGCAATTCAGGTTACCAGAATTCAATCCTGTTCGGCCCAAAAGGCGTGCTTGAAGCATATTTCAGGATCTTTTACTGAGACATCTGTTGAAACCAAAGAGAAAACAGCACAATGACTTGGGGTATAGCTTAACTGCGGTGCTCCCAAACGCTTCTTTCAGCATAAATGAGCCCGGCTCGTCTTTCTTAGCGAGAGGGTTACTGATCACAAGTATAAATTCTGCTTACGAATGTCTTGCAATTACAGATAATAAACGACAAAGCAGAAACAAACGCGGAAATTTTCTTGTTAATATGATTTTATCACAGTCAATGCGAAGTCGACGTGCTGGAGCGACTAGAGGAATAAAAAAACTAGCGCACCAAAGCATGAAAACATATCAACATGAGCGTCCTTCTAGCAGAGAAAACGAGAAGCATGCAGAGGCATTAGTAACCAGAATGTGTATTATCATGACTCATATCTTACCCTGCTTTTTAGTTTGGTCGATATGAAAGGCCTCATGAAGATGTTATAAATGCCTTCGAAAACAGTGGGCGTGTTTATAAAGTACATGCCCTTGACCCGGACGGGAAATGTGTCCTGCGGAAAAAAGAAAGAAGATAATACTTCAATGAGAGCTTTGTAGCGTAAGAGGACCGAAATGCTATACAGTTTTGGTGCTCACATGTTTCTGTTTTTTTGGATGAGACATATAGCTAAAACGAATGCCATATTGAAAACTTGTATAAATGCCAACAATACAGGAAAATGCCCCGAAGTTTTGAAGCAACGATAGGCTGAGCTACCATTGTGCGAGAACAAATAAAAATACATGCAAAAAAAAAAGGCACTCGTGCGAGTCAAAAGAACTATGATCGTGAGATAGGTGCTTCGTTTCGATGTAAACTTTAATTTGGGAGATCCGAGTGGTATGCATGCCGGCCAAGCGCGCGGGAGTGTTCATGCACTATGGCGGCCGTTGGCTGTTACTTGTATATACGCACAGATGGCACTGCAAATAATTCTTTATTGCATTTCGTCCATAGCAGATTTGCTTGTACCTTTACGAATGATGCACGAATGTATGCTATATTTGACACTATGTAACCATGCTGCGAATTGCGCCGAGGACAAACACCTGGCGTGTAAAAAGGCGCGCCAGCATTTAGCCAGGCAATTGAGTCGTACGTGTGGACCTTCTGCTATATAATTAAAAGATGTTTCAAGTATTTTTGAGCTGGCGCGAGTTTATTATACTGCGAAACGCCGTCTTCATCTGCTGTCACACCAAAAGCATACGCAACGCACTTTCTGAGCATCGAGGCACGTGTACAATGGTAAATAAAATAAGCGATTTCAATAACCAAGATCATTCTAATTAGGCTGAACTATTGTTATTAGAGGTCAATTTTCGAGTAGCCTGTTCGAAGTACTGCTTGTTCCTTTGGTTGATTGAATTCTAATGTTGTCTTAATTCTGCTAGCAATTACTTTTGTAAATAGCTTGTACACTACGGAGAGCAAGCTGATCGACCTGTAATTCTTCAAGTCTTTGTCATCTCCTTTCTTATGTATCAGGGTGATGTTAGCATTCTTCCAAGTACTCTTCTTGTCAGGAGACACCTCGTAAACAGGGTCGCAAGTTTTTCTAACACAATCTGTCCTCCATCTTTCAGCAGATTTGATGTGCCTGATCCTAACCAGCAGTTTTGCCTCTTAGCATGCTCTCCAAGGCTTTTCTGACTTCTATCATTACTGGTGGGGTGTCATCTGGGTTACTACTATTTCCTATATTAAGGTCGTGGATGTGCTGGCTACTGTACAGATCTCTGTAAAACTCTTGTGCTAATTTTACTATCCTATCCATATTGGTAGTTACATTGCCTTCCTTGTTTTTTAGTGCATACATCTGGTTTTTGCCTATCCCAAGTTTTCTCTTCACTGCTTTGACGCTTCCTCCGTTTTTCAGAGCATAATTAATTCTCTCTATGTTATACCTTCTCACATCGGATACCTTACGCTTATTATTCAACTTCGAAAGCTTTACCCTCTCTATTTGTCTATTGTACTTGAGGCCTTCATACTTTGACGCTTCTTAATGAGATTCTTCGTTTCCTGGGACAGCGTTCCAGTGTCCTCTCTAACTATAGTACCTACAACTTTCATTGCACACTTCATAATAATACTAGTCAGATTATCATTCATTGCGTCAACGCTATAATTGCGTTATGCTGCAATGCCTGCTATGAGCACTCTTCAAAAACACGTGTCACATAAGAGGCCTCAAAACACAAGTGCTATGTAAAGAACTGGCCACACCTTTTCGGCGATGTTAATCAGTTTCTTTTCACGAGAAATTGATATTCACTTCATTGCGTACACATTTCTCCGCGCAAAGCTGCAGTTAAGTGCTTCGCAAAGCTTAGTCTGTGACCTCAAGAAACCTGTTCTAGCTTGATTTATATCACGATTTCTGTCCTGATGATCTCAGCTCCGCCTGTTTTGCAAATCTGTAATAGCAACATTTACTTCATGTGGGTGAGCCTACTGCGTACAACATTTTTGCTCAACAATGGGCGCTTCGGTTTCTGTGACATGTGCAAAGATGACCTTGGAATTCTTCGAGAGAAACTCTTCAATGATCTTTGAGCGGCCTTCAATGCATATTGTACGGGGGTAGTCGAGCGTCTATAAATGACCCACGGCGGCGCCATTCCTAGATGCCATTCTTAGGCTGACGCGAATCGTACTTCAGATAAATGGGCAACTGGCGTATCAGGCAGTACCAAACAGATGTAACTATATACAGGCAAAGTGACGCTAACGCACCAACTGAAATTCACCTTAACACAGGAGACAGCGTTGATTGTAAATATGCTACTATCACCTACACGAGTAAAAATTTTTGCCACCCCGCCTTCCTTTGGCATCCTTATTAATCGAGCCAGCGCGTAATAAAATTATTCGGGCAGGTAGACGCAACCTGATAAACACAACAGATCAATGATCTCTCTCTCTCTATCTCTCTCACACACAAACACACACACACACACGCACACACACACACACACACACACGCACACGCACACACACGCACACACACAGCTGCAAGATGGAGGGCAAAGGTGTTTCGTTGCTTTTGCGTGTTCGGATAAATCGATCTAAATAGATCACGCAGGGAAATGTTGGTCAAAGACGTATGCACTTACTTGAGCAAGTGTGATGAGCATTCTAAGGAAGCTCGGCGTCAATTCCAGGATGTGATGCACGCTCAAGCCTTTCAGATCTTCGACACCCACTACTCCTCGTATCTGGGTCTCCTCGTCAAGGAGGAGGCACTCTGCTCCTACTATGAAACATCTCATGAAGTCTCGTATTGAACACAAGTCGCGTGTCCATGAACCTGAAAGAAAGCCGCAAATAGTTAAGTATATTGATCAAAATTTTCGAATGACGCTTTGAGGAGTACTACTATCTTTATGTGACTAATGGGTGATACATTTTTCTGAGGTGTGAGACAATATGACTGCCTTATTAGTAATATATATATATATATATATATATATATATATATATATATATATATATATATATATATATATATATATATATATATATATATATATATATATATATATATATATATATATATATGATGAATGGATTGGGAAAAGATCTCGCACATTCGAACGAACGCCTATTGCATACCGGTGTGTCGTCGCCGATTATGATCACCACCACCTCACACCTCTTCTAAACAGGGCACCTGCATCTAACAAGCACATTCTCCAAAGCTTCCTAGCGCGCTTAAACACTAATATTTTTTGTGCTATATGCTCTACAATATAGAATTGGCCTGCTATTCATTTCTTTCTGCAAGAGATGTTGGAATGTTTCTCTACTAGTTTCCATAGCGTGTTTCGTTATTGTTTACCCTTCTTCATAAACCCCAGGGAGGAAAAAAGCCTGTTTTTGCCAAAAGTATTGATGGAAGCAAATAGTAGCATTTTAAAAGGTATTACTCAAATACTCGGCTCATAACAACGCAAGAACGGAGGGATAGAGCAAGATAAATTTAACGATCACGAGTATGGCTTGGTGGGGTAGCTAGTTTGCATCTCAGAAAGCTTAGAGCGGGAATCGATGGAGACAAATTGTAGAAACAAGATCAGGCACTGTGTCTTTCGCCTTTTTTGCTTTGTCCAAATCTATGTGAAGCGTAAGCTTTCTAAGTTACAGGACCCGCACTGACTTCCAACTAAATCATTTATTCTTTGAGAAACAAAGACGAAAATAAAGCACAAGCTGTGAAAAAGAAAGACTGCGTGAGCGCACAAAATTTTACAAAGCCAACTAGGCAAGATAAAATCAGGCTCTTCGGAAATCAAAAGAAGAGATCCGAGAGCTCACGCTGATATCAGCTTGACTGTTTATAAGATGAATTTTCACTACCTCTCTAGTCATGTCGTACTTTGCTCACACTGAGCTGTTAAATGCAACAACAAGAATCTTGAAAGCAATTACTAAAACAGGAAGTACCATGAAAAAGGAATGGTGTCATTTTAATTACATGTTTCTTAACGTTCCATAAACGAATATTGTTGCTTAATACGATGGCACCCAACATAACAGCGTCATTATACTGATTTGATGTCACATCAATAAAATTTCACCCGCATTGCTAGTAACATAGGTTGGTTATGGCTGAACATCTATTGCTCATTGTAAAAGCACCTGAATTGAGTGATTTTGTAGAGGAGAATGAATGTGAGAAGTAAACAGAGTGAGTGGGCACTTTAGGTCGTAAAACCAGTACTACACTTTTGAACAAAAAACAAAAAATGATAGCAAGAAATTAGCTTTAGAGGTACTGACAACCACTCTTCATGGTTTCTTGTTTTCTTTAGTGCAACAGAAAGCGTAGCAGCTCGACTGTGTATTCATGAAATGGTAAGGCTGGAAACAACGTGAAACATTTTATACTGCTAAATTTTCAATCTGTGATGATTGTGAAGTAGTGCACCCAACACACGCTGCAAACGACGGGAGGGGAGCGTGAGAGTGGTTCGCATTGGCGCGCTCCAGTTTGGGGCGTATGTGCGCACTTGGTGAGAATGAACCACGGCTCAACATGTTCCACTAGTTGTCTCGAAGGTAGCACTGCTTCTTAACGTGTAACTCCTTCAAACACGAAGGCAGGACAGAATAGAGTGGCGATGAGTTCATTGGTGGAACATCGGAGAGGCCTTTGCCCTGCAGCGGGCATAGTCAGGTTAATGATGATTATGATGATCATGACACTGATGAGTGATTGTATACACAGCGTTCGTGCTGGGGGTCTAACTATCTGTTCTCCAGCTTCATCGTTATTTGTTTCACTGTAGCTGATCGAGTGCACATGAGCTCCTGAGACTCTGTTTCACTGTTGATCGTTACAAATTTGATTATTGAACACCTATTACAGCGTACATAAAAGCATAGGACTACGTAGAGCAAAGGAAACGACTCCGTAGTGCAAGTTGACAATGCAATCCTACTCAAATCAGGGAAATGATGATTGTATCTATAGCACCTAATTCTCATTTTTTTCTTTGTCATCAGCGTATAATCTGACTTTTGAAGAGTTATTGGTCCCTTTAAATGAAAGTTGTCAGGAAAGGTAAGATATATGAAAAAAAGAGACTGACCAAAGTCAAGCATGGCCATGGCTCTTCCCTTGGAATCTCTCACTAGTGGGAAGAGTGCCAGCTTATACCGTCGAAACACTGTGTCGTATTCGATTGTCGATGGCGATAGGTTGTCGAACACTTCAGGCATATCTCTGCGAGCACTGAAGTAGTTCTTCACAGTTTTCACGGCTTCATCGACCCTGTATTTTTTTGTCCGAAGAAACGGGAGTAAGAAGTCATCAGGAGGAACGCGGAAACCTTCTTCCTCTGAAAATGAAGAAAGACAGGAATTGTTAACTATTGTGCATGTCGAACGTTATGTATTTGCTTTATGATTGGGGTGTTCAGTAGCTTCAAGAAAGGCTTTTGTTTGCAAAGTTGGCACAGTATCAGTAAACGAAAACAAAATAAAACTGGCACCTGAACATGATCTACTGCAGGTAAGTCAAGGAACAACTGGCGCTGCTTACTTGCGCACTTGAGTGAGTGAAACTACTTTATTGACGATCCGGCATAAAGGGGGAAGTGGTAGGGGGATTAAAGCGAGACACTAGCGTGCTTGGACGTCCCGGAGCAGCAACCTACTTGCGTCAAACCTGTGGGGGCGCCGCTTTCGGTCGCTGGCGTTCCAGGATGCTAAGCACGTGCTGGACCACGTCTCTTTGATTGCCTGGCTCTCGGCTGATAATTTTGCTGCTTATGGCAGTTGGCATTACTTCTTGGTTACCCGGCGGTGGTGCACAGTCCCAAAGGAGGTGTCTCTGGGTGGCTCGCGCCTTCTTGCAGTGTTGGCATACATCAGTGGTGTTAACTTCCGGGCAAACGTGCTTTGCCCAGACGGGGGTCCATATTGCTTGTACTTGCAGCTGCCGTAGTGTGGCTGCTTCTCTGCGTTGTAGGTCTCGGTGAGGCGGTGGGTACAGAACGAGCAGACGCCTCTACCCACCACCTCACCGAGAACTAGCGCACTTCGCATCTTGCAGGAAGAACTGGTCGCAAGTAATAGATTGAAACCGCAGTACATCACACATTTCGCGTGAAGCGTTTTGAGAAATGAGACACCTGCTTCCACATCTTACTAGTAGCAAGGAAATTTTGGTTTGCCCAGTAAACAGAGTATGTAAAAACCACGCTGTTGCGTGGTCTTCAAAAGTTAAGGTTTCTTCTATGAGAACTTGAACTCATTAATTAGCTGCATGGCATGCACCTAAGTAAAAAAAAAATCATCACATATCCACGAAATGAATGATCATAAGTTGGCGGAGATCGAGAAGAGAGATCATCGGTGAAACGTAACTCTCCCGTGAAATGTTAGTCCATTATATCACTATAAGGACATGAGACTGTGCGTATATTATACAAATAAACTTTTATTTTGTTCTTGTTCGTTTTGTTGATTCGTTTTCTTCGTTAGTTTTTTTTTTCATTTGTTCGTTGTCATGGCAGCTGGATTGCGAGGTCTCTTTAATAATTGATTGATTGTCGGGTTTAACGTCGCGAAACCACGCAATGATTATGAGAGACGCCGTAGGGGAGGGCTCCGGAAATTTCGACCACCTGGGGTTCTTTAACGTGCACCCAAATCTGAGCACACGGGCCTACAACATTTCCGCCTCCATCGGTAATGCAGCCGCCGCAGCCGGGATTCGAACCCGCGACCTGCGGGTCAGCAGCCGAGTACCTTAGCCACTAGAGCACCACGGCGGGGCTCTTCAATAATACGTCTTTATGGTCCGTGAAATGAAGCGAGAAAGGTTCTTGTACTGGCTGCAGGGCTATAAGTTTGGAAACACTAATGGTGTCATCACTTGGCAGATGCGGAGTGGTCGATGAACTCTGCGCCGTAGAACTTTAACCTGGCGGAGGGTACCGGAAGAAAATCTACCAATAGAACAGCCGCGAACTTTCTGGAGCAAGTCGCAGGGTATAAATGGAACGCGATGCGCACGTCTCTCTTCTTGCAAGAGTGAGCACTTCGGGTTTCTCGATGGGCGTGCCCCCCTCCACCGCCTGCCTTAATGGGCACGGTAGGCACAGCTATTGGATCATTCCAGTGACTATAGGCGGCGAAACGGTAGGTCAGAATAACGGACGAGACGGTGATGTATGTCGCAAGCGTGCACGTCAGCGTCGCAGAGCGTGAAGACGCGTTAGTGACTACTGAGAAACCGAACTGCGTCGCGGATTATCACCGTGGGACAGCTTCGGAGCACGGCTGCATGGCGCTGCCTGCGTCGCTGGAATGACCCAATGCCTAGAATATTCTAGGCACAATTGCACAGCGGCGTTACGCTAACAAAGCATGAGCTCCGGTGCGAGGCGCAACTGATGCGACCGGCGTCCATTGGCGCACCCAAAGTTGGCACCATTTGAAGGCACGGGGTGCTTGCGACATCCGGTCTAATCCACTGATTTTCGTTTAGTAGAAAAAAAACGGCAGCATATCCACGGAGTGAATGATGGAGAGTGGGGCGGAGCATTCGTCCGTCCATTCGTTCTTGCTTCCGTCCGTCCATGCGTCCGTCTGTGTGACCGTCCATGCGTCGGTCCCTGCTTTCGTCCATGCATCTGCTCCTGCGTCCGTCCATCCGTTCATCCGTCCACGCAGCCATCCGTGCGTCCGTCCATGCATCTGTATGTGTGTCCGTTCGTTCACCTATTCAACACTCCAAGTACCACCATCTCGCATCTTTTCATAATATATTCCTCATATAGAAGCACCGCCATCCAGCGGTCATTCCAAGGACTGAACGAGACGACGCACACGCACACTTTCTTACGGCTTGCGCTTCGGGTCTACTTCCCACCTTTAACCACCCCGAGTTCATGGTATATACTAGTTCATTGTATTCATGGCACTGCGGCTCAACGCTCGCTAAGCCTTTCTAAAACTAAGAAGGTTACACCCAGCGGGTATAACGTAGCAACCCTTTCTTGTCAGATAGTGTTCAATGTACATGCCAATGGCTGCTAATGGGGAATGAGAGACAGGAGCATTCGGCTTTTAGTTAACGTGCACGCCGCGAACTTTTTATTGTTCAACTAAGCACAGGAGAAATCTCCCACCGGCACCACCTTGCAGGTCAAAATGTAACACTGGTTACACACTACGACTACGACTACGAGGGACGAACGGGTGCCGCTTTAAGGAGCTTCACCCCTAAAAGTTGCTCCGGGAGTGATCTCTCGATTGAGCTGTTCCAGATCTGCCAATGGAACATACAGGGAGCACTCTCATTCTGCCATTGAAATAGACTTGCTCCCTATGGAGCAAAAGAAAGTATTACCAGAAATGCTCCGTATCTGCCAACGGAGGACACCATAAGTGTAAGCTCGGCTCTCGGACCGTGGTAGGTTGCATATGGATACATACACCTGAGTGCGTATTTGGAAAGCCCGTGCTGCACAATTCAGTCACCTACTCGTCCGTGTGTCCATCCGTGCGTCTGTCCGTGTGCCCATGCGTTCGTGTGCCTGTCCATTTGTCCGTTCATCCGTCCGTGCGTGCGTGCGTGGGTCCGTTCGTCTGTCTGTCCGTTCGTCGCTCTGTGCGTCCGTGCGTTCGTCCATGCATACGTTCGTCTATGCGTTCGTCTGTCTGTCTGTCTGTCTGTCTGTCTGTCTGTCTGTCTGTCTGTCTGTCTGTCTGTCTGTCTGTCTGTCTGTCTGTCTGTCTGTCTGTCTGTCTGTCTGTCTGTCTGTCTGTCTGTCTGTCTGTCACGCAAGTGCCACCTGGTGAGTGAGTCTTACAACTAGGTGGTAATGAACCGGTCACAAAATAAGTGCATGGACAGACGCATGGTTTTAGGAGCTCCACCCCTTAAAAGGATAATGTCTCTTTTAATTGAAAATATGTTCTCGTGGGAACATGAAAATTTCTAGCAACATCGATGATCAATCACCTAGCATAGGTGACCATCCTCTTAGGTGTTTGAAAATCTTCTGTTTAATGCACTTCCCATTGCAAAACTACATTTATAGAAAAAGACCACTTTGGGTACTTCTGCGTTTGTGAAACACGTTATGCTTCTGCGCTGGCTGGCCATGCTGCAGTTATGTGGCAAATATACTAAACTCGCAAGAAAGAAATTGCCCAAAGCTTTCTGGTTATCGTAGGTGGAGTCCCTCGTAGAGCGCTCCACCGGTGATTGCGGCTCACTGTCTTAGCCAAGGGTTGGCAGTTCGCTTCTCAAGTACGGTTTGAAGACTCGTCTAAACGGCACTGAACCGATCTACGAGTCTGACCATAATTAACGGGGAGGTGACGTCTGCGGGGTGCTGCTTGCACTTTTTTATGTTATGTGATTGTGTATCAGGGTGGAGTCACACAACATATGTTTTTGCCGTGTTTTTTCGGAATGTCTGGATAAGCCAGTGGTCATCAGGTCAAGAATGAATGATTGAGCAACGCAGTGACTTGCAGACAGAGTATTTTATCACCGCAGAGAGCCGGATAAGCTGCCGCTGATCTCTTGGCATGGACTTCCTTTAGTATTTTTCGCTTGCAGTAGACATGTTTTTCTCCATTGACCTCCACTTTGATTTCGAAGCAGTTCTTTGCGAAATAACACACTTTGAGCATTTCTTTTTATCTATCTATCTATCTATCTATCTATCTATCTATCTATCTATCTATCTATCTATCTATCTATCTATCTATCTATCTATCTATCTATCTATCTATCTATCTATCTATCTATCTATCTATCTATCTATCTATCTATCTATCTATCTATCTATCTATCTATCTATCTATCTATCTATCTATCTATCTATCTATCTATCTATCTATCTATCTATCTATCTATCTATCTATCTATCTATCTATCTATCTATCTATCTATCTATCTATCTATCTATCTATCTATCTATCTATCTATCTATCTATCTATCTATCTATCTATCTATCTATGTCTTTCCTGTCTGCCTTGCTATCTTTTTATACCCTTATCTCTTTCAGATACCTCGCCCATACAAACAACAAAAAATTAACAGTGGCTTAGCTCGGCTATTAACATAGCCGAGCTAAGCCACTGCTAATTTTTTGTTGTTTGGATATGCGTAGCGTGAGCTACGCATACACGGAAAGAGAGACTGACGAACCACTAATGGATAGAAAGAACCATAGATGAACGGGCCGACGGATTACCACAGACGGATGGATGGATGGATGGACGAACTAGTGAGCGAGCGATCTCACGCTATTCAAGCGCCAGCCCACTAACGTTGAGTTTCCATGGGTAGCCTTCATGTATACGCGCGGAGGTGGCGCGCACGTGAAGGCTCCTTATAGTTTCCAGTAGAGTAACTGCATATGGTCCCTACGGGATCATGAACAGTTACTACCAAGGCTTGCACTACCAAGGCTACGAAGAAGGGGGAGAGGAGGAACCTGCACACTGACAAGAATGGCGCTACTTTAGTTATAACTATTCGAGGGACTTTGGTTCAATGCGGTTCAACCAAACTTTTTGAACGATCCCAGCAACTACCGCAGGAAGCACGGCACGGTCGTGTCTCACGTAGGAAGTAATCGCTGCACTGTCCACATTTCTCGACGTGTGCACCTCTTTCACAATGGCATGGTGGATGCGCCCATCCCCTTGCGAAAAAGTTGCAAAAGGCTTCTTGATCTCGGAGCCTTTTCCTCTGGTGGTAGCAGTTGCATGAGTTCCTTTAGAGCAGATGTCACGGCCCCTACCAAAACACCATAGAGCAGTGCCGGAGAGAGGAAAAGGTGGATTGCCGGTACTCTAGTTTTCAGTCGTTCGGTGCGCCATCTGTGCGGCGTGTGACGTTATTGCTCCTCGTGCTTGAGCAGAACTGCTCACCTTAAGCCACGTGCAACTGCTCAACCTTTGCCACTGTGTGCGTTACGCTAGAAAACAAGTGGTTTACACAATCGTGTACGCAGGGTGCCAAAGGGTGTCGATTGCCATTTTCCTATTTCTTTCATTTGTTCTACTGTCTCTCTTATCCGTTCCTTTCTTTTTTATCACTGTCTATTTTCTCTTTCTTTCTATTTTCTTTCACTTTTCCTGTTTCACACCTTTGGTGTGCTTCGCTTCGCTGATCAGAGTTCTCGTTTTACCCTCGGGCCTGCTCTACTCGGTGGTGAGACTTGACTGATTCCTTTGACGTATGCCACCATCTGCGTACTTTTGAACCGCGGAGCGCAAGTTACCGACAGGCTAGTTAACCGTCGTTGCTGTAAAAAGAGTAAAACACGGCCATTGAAAAGCTCCTACCCCAAAGCAGTCGAAGATGTGCCCCATTGGGCGACTGATTGAAGTGACTAGATATTGAGAAAGATTCTATCCTATCTTTCCCCGGTATGGAAGTGTGAAATGTTTCCGTTGATGTGGTCTTTAGGTGATGTTTCGCATACTTAGTAAAACTGTAGATGGTTACAATAAAAATAATTATCTCCACCACTTTTGCGCCCTAATGGGTGGAGCCATTCTTGGTTTCTTGTGCCCCATGAGTAGTGTCGCCTTCATAATCGAAATGGACTTACATTGACCGTGTAATTGGCTTTTTTATGACACGGTAAGTAGGCGAAAGAATAATCCATAGATTAAATGAGCTTGCAGCATATTAAGTGCATTAAAATAAGTATAAGTCTCAGTACGGTGTGCCACGACTGCTTTCGGCATAAACTGGCATAGACTGAATTTGTCAGTGTTGGCGATTGATGTATCGCGTCATGGAAGGCAAGCTTACTTTAGCGCTGACAAAAATAAAGAATAGTGAATCTGACGCTGCGCTTCTAGTAGTAGGAATTGAATTCTTTTGCTTATAAGTCAAGAGACGCCGGAAGTAAACTTGATAATTATGTTTTGCGCAAACCCGCACACACACACACACACACACACACACACACACACACACACACACACACACACACACACACACACACACACACACACACACACACACACACACGCACACGCACACGCACACGCACACACACACACACACACACACACACACACACACGCGACCGTATATATATATATGTGACGCTATGAAGAATGGGAGACGTGGCCTGGCCCATACCCCATGTTTATTCTATCTCTCACTTCTTCCTTCCCTGCTTCTACCAATCATCGCTTCATACGTCACACGACTCCCCCTCCCCCCGAAAGAAGGCATGGATTACGAACAAGGAAAAGTACACAAGGAGAGGTTGAGAAGTCACAATTGTCAAAATGCACAATTGGTTTCATGGCCCCGTTGTGTTCCGTAAACTCGCAAAACTTCAGGACAGAGTGCAGCAGTCCGGTTAACGCAGGAGTTCTGGTGGGCGAGGCTGATGGTTGCGTCCTGGATAACACAAGAATGCTTTGGACGTGGAGATAGCGGAAATCGCAGCCGGCATTCTTGTGAAGAACAAACGAGTTTCGAACACCTTGTAGAATGGACAGTTCAGATATCGTAGGCATCGAACTCTTCGTCGTGGCACAGGTCGTGCAGGCAGCTTGCGTGCGCGTTGATCGAGGTTGATTGGGCGCTGCCCATGTTTCTGCCGAGTACAAGGGGTGCTTTTGTGGCTTTTGCAAATTTTTCTATGGCGATGTCGCAGATGGTTTGATGGAAGGCACATTCTTGATCTTTGGTGGAGAATGTATCCACCACGATGGGCCTTTTTGCAATGTTCTTCAAGCCTTAAGAGTGCACTCGATAAAGTTTTGTTTCGCCGTTGACAATGTTGAAGTATGCGTTGACGTTGTAATTTCTTCGTTTCGTCAACTTGATGGTGGTGTGACATTGATCGTGTTGCGCCAGGATTCTTAGCGAGTCCTCCGCAGGCTTCTACGACGCCAACCAATGCAACTGTTTCCGGCGCAATATAATGTGGCGGGTTTGATGCACTTGAATCTTCTGTATTTATAAACCGTTCATTGTTGGTCGTTGCCTGAAGCGTACTTATGTCATCAGAAGTCGCACCTGCGGTTTCGTTTTTATTATATGCAGTGAGGTTGTATACTGTATTCACGTCGCTTCGATCTTGTGATTGATGAACACTCGACCCTTCTGCAGAACACTTTTTTTCACAAGATGCTGATTGTGAATGCTTCTGTCTCTGTGGAACTGCTGAACTGAATACTTTGAACAAATGAGATTCCTGTGAACATTCGTTGTCTGGGTTGGTTTCGTGCAGATTTACTAACTCGTCACGCGTAAATGCTACGATCTTGTGAGGTGCTTCATTAGGTTTATCAGTAAAGTTGATGACAGGAGATGGAACTGCTGAGCTGAATACTTTGAACGAATGATGTTTCTGTGAACATTCGTTGTCTGGTTTGGTTTCATGTGGATTTACTAACTCGTCATGCGTAAATGCCGTCACGCATCCGAAGCCGTGTGGGCCATGTGTGCGACACGAAGCATCAAGTGATTCGGGTTGTTCAGTATTACCTGAAGTATTATGGTGCCGTAAATACATTGGAAATGCCGATTTATTTACCCGTGAAAAATCCAATCGCCAGTCCGGTCTTTTGGCTAAATGGTCTACATTCCTATCGGCATACGGTGGCATTACCCTCTCTGCTGCGACGTGCAAGTCCCTAGTTGGTGTTGTAATGCGTGAACTGTATTTGGACGAGTCATACGATGGTACAATGGTGGAATATTTACTCTGAAGTCTTGTTTGGGAAATACGCTTACTGCGGGAAGACTTCGCGTACCTGTGATGGTTGAGTTGAAGAGACTTCAGCTGATGAGGTATGTACAGGTCTTCATCGTATTCTTTGAAACGGGTGATCATTTCTTCTTTGATCTTTTTCCAAGACTCATCGTTCTCGAAGATGTGGGTGAGGTAAAACTTGAATGCCTCACCTGAGATGTAGTCAGTAAAGTTGAGGACCATCTCCCGTTCCGACCATGATGCAGCGGTGGCATGGAGCTCGAACAGGTTGAACCAGTCCTGTACGGGTCCGTCGTCCGCTGATCCGGTGTACTTAGGGATGTCAAGGTCTTCTGATGCTGCTGTCATGATGCTTGGTGGTCTTGGTGGTCCGCGTTCGGTCACTGCGTCTCGCTGAGGTCTTCGATGATGATGGCCGGGCGATGAAGTGGTTGCGAGGTCTTCATCCTGTCGACTTTTGTGACGCTATGAAGAATGGGAGACGTGGCCTGGCCCATACGCCATGTTTATTCTATCTCTCACTTCTTCCTTCCCTGCTTCTACCAATCATCGCTTCATACGTCACACACACACACACACACACACACACACACACACACACACACACACACACACACACACACACACACACACACACATATATATATATATATATATAAATATATAATAACTTGTGTACTATTTCACGTACATAAGAGGAAAATAGTGCGTAAAGTCTAGTGAAAAGGTGCTCAGCACAGTAATCTAAAAACACCTTTCAACACACGCGCTGCAGTGTATCGATTTAGCTTCGACAGCGCTTTTAAAGATGTGTAATCGGGATAAGGAAAGTTTAGATTTCTTTAAGCTGACAACATCGCGTGGAAATCATGCAATAATAGCAGTGCCTAACCACCATCTGACGTATTCTTATAAAAAAAAGAGACAATTTGACGTGCCATTGTTTCTCTTTTGCTGCTTCTGGTGGTAGATTTTAGCTTTGTGTCACCCTCTTACGAAACTTTTTCGCTAGATCTGAATTTTTTATTAGGTTTTTATGTTTTAAGTTGTCTTTGTACTGACAACTTAGTCCTGGTTGTGTTCTGCCGTTATTAGTATTTGAAGGCCGTTTTATAAAAGGTAGTTTACACTGCACTTAGTAAACTCTTGATTTTTACTTGTTTTTTTTAATCTTAACGTTTATTCGACAGTGATAGTAATGCGGATTGTTAGATTGGTAGAGTCACTTTATGGCGTTTGTTTTCTCTTCACTGTGTTTTTTTTTCTATATATGCACTGCCTGTTCTATATGAGGAAACAAGTTGACAGTCGGGGCTGTGTTCTTTGTCTTTACCTTTCTCTCATAGCTTGTGACTGCTACGCCGTAATGTTAAAAAACTCTTCAAAAAGGTTGGACAAAACACGAATATGCTAGAGAATATTGCACGGTATCTATGGAAGGGGATGCGGGTTTCAAGTTACCTTCGAGAAGTTTCCGCAGCTGAGATAGGCATTTTTCCTTCACTTGAGGCGTTTCCCCCAATTCTATCCGTGCAATATTTTCCAGCTCTTCATTCATATCGTGGACTTTCTTACCGTCGGGTGTGGCTTTCTGGAAGTTGGAAACAAGAAATTAGTGTGGACCACTAGCTTGTCAATGGGTGGCAAAAAAAATTTGATTGCGTAACAAAAAAAAAACATTTTTGAACAGTACAAAAACCACGAAGCTGTTCAGCCCGACCGTGCTAGCGTACGCCAGTAGAATTCAGGGCAGCAGGACACGATGAATAACCCTGCATTTGCTATTGGTAATGAAGGTATGCTTAGTTGAGTGATAGAAATACTGTTTTAACGAGAAAAAACAAAATTGTCGATTAGATTTTTTTAACTTGTGCCGAAATGTACTCCCCACGGCAGGAAATGATACGCACGATTATGGGCACATCTTTCTTAAACCATGAATAAATACGACGTCGCCTAGCTCCTTAACACACACACCTTGCGCAACGCCACGCAAAAATAGTGTATAACAATGTCAGTAACTTCAGGTAGCGTTTTCATCAGATAGGAACGGGAAGGATTTATTTAGATATTTGAAGAAAAGCGGCCTTTCTTTGTTCCCGGCTTGTGAAAGGCTTATCTGAGTTATCTGTGATCACTCAAATTTTTGGTTCCCTGGTTCCCTGGTTCGAACCTTATTTCCATCACCAGAACGAATTTAGCAAAACACGAAGAAGTGAAGTGAACCCGGACGTCTGGCTAAGTCGAAGAACCGGAACCTACTGAATGAGCCAGCTCTCATGGCTGTTGCTCGTTCCTAACGACCCCTAGTTCTGTTTTATTTGGAACACTTTGTATATGAACCCTACTTATGCTTGAAAATGTTCTAACGTATCAAAAAACACTTAATTTTCCATCATCATCATCATCATCAACAACATCATCATAATCAATAATAATAATAGAATAAAGATGATAATAATAATAATGATGATAATAATAATAATACCTGGAGTATGACATACAAAAATTACGATATGATTACGAGAGACGCCGTAGTGGAGGACTCCGGAAATTTCGACCAGCTGGGGTTCTTTAACGCGCACCCAAATTTGAGCACATGAGCCTAGAGCATTTTCGATTCCATCGAAAATGCACCGACCACTGCCGGGATATGATTGCGTGACCTTCGAAATCGTGTAGACCTCGGCCGCATTTTCTTTTTTCCGCCAGTAATCCTGGCGATCAAATATACCAGTAATTATCAACTACATACTTTTCAGATGAGCGGCACAAGGCCATTTCTTTATCGCTGCTTTCGTGAAAATGCCGCCTGTACTACGATTCCCGTCATTCGGCATGAAGTCTTTTATACACAAAGAAGCGCTTGTTATGCATGCTGTACAGTTTCTGTTTAATGTGCAGATAACTGGACTTTCTTTGGGCTGGTAACTAAAATATAATAGATCGAGAGATTGCGACCTATATTTTGGATGTACCGGCGTGATCGTTATGTACAATATTTTCAGGTGTGACCTGTGGCGAAGAGCAGCATGGAAACAACATATGTTCGATTGCATGTACCAAAGAAAAACGAGAACCATTGGCGACTATCGCGTAAATGGTTCTGCCGGAAAAGGATGCATCTTATGATGCATAGAAAAGTAGATGGCTTGGCCATGAACAGTTGAAGGAGACGGTGGAGGGGGGGGGGGGCGCATTATCGAGGAAGTTCAGCACAATATAAAAGAAGGGTTCTCTACGTGCTCAATCGGCACGTCAGCTACGGGAATGGGTGACACGAGGCGAAGGACTTTGATGCGGAAGGCGCATCGAAAGGTATCGGCGTTCGGGAAAGCAAATATCACCTACAGAATGCTTCCTGTCTGAGTGTTATAATCTTGTAGGCCGAAACACTCGATGCCTTAAATGCAATGAAGGACTTTCTAAGAAGGACATTCAACAAATCACGTGCCTTGTGCATGACAGTGTTGAAAGAGTGACCACTGAAGTGCCGACGAAATTCGATGAAAGCCCCAATTATGGCAAAGATTCCTTTTCTGTGATTAAGTACTTCCTTGCGACTTTTGTCGAAGTGTAACTGCCGCACGGCCGCATGTTCTCGTAGAAGCAGTACTTCAGTTGCGCCAAAGAGTGCACGAAGTCTGTTGCCACTGGCGTCCGTATGTCAGCGTTGTGGGGTCGTAGCGTAAAGTATCAGAAATGAAGTTTGCAGGTGACATAATTGTTTGAAGGCTTCGTCACACAAGGTTAAACACACAGTGATGCCGTCGATTGTGCTAAACGAATCGGTCAGTGGTAGAGTGATGCTTGCAATGTTACGCAGGAGTCTCGCAAAAATAAACGCAGAACTGTGAAGTGCCATAAGAGTAGTGGGCCAATGAATCTCTGCGACAATGCGGGGCTTGACTGAGAGAGGAAGGGCACCATACGTCGATGCGGAGTCTTGTTGTCGATATCGTTAACTTGAGCGGCGCCAAACGGTGCTTTTTTGATGTTCAGTTGAGGGCTAGAAGAGTAGAAGGAGGTCAGTGTGTGATCCGAAAGATTGAGGGACTTTGCATAAATGACTGAAATCACGACGATGTCATCGAGATAGCATATGCACGTTATTCCTTTGTAAATGGGGAATTTTGCCCCGTGTTATGCTCGAAGGTGATCACTGTCAGGCCGTAAGGCATGACAGTGATTTTGCATAAGCCGTCAGGTGTCATAAAAGCTGCCTTTTCACACTAATATTCAGTCAGAGGCACTTTATAATAGCACGAATAAAGATCGAAAAATGAGAAATACTCCCCGCATTGCAAGTAGTGGAGTACCTTATCTGTGCGAAGCAGCGAAGAGATATCCTTCCGAGTGGTCTCAATAGGCCGATGAAAGTCCACACAGAGGCTCACTGACCCGTCCTTCATGAATACAAATACTACAAGAGACATCCAAAGGCTGGGGGGAGGGCGAATGATGCTACGCTGTAGAATATTGTTGACCTCCTCGTCATTCACCCGTTGTTTTACTGGCGAGACGTAATATGGGCGTTGGTATAAATCATCACATGGGGCCAGTGTCAATGCGGTCAGTGACGTTCGCCTTACGTCCAAGTGATGGTTGATCGCATGAACGACGACACAGAATTCTTGAGAAGCACAGAAACTTGCCAGCGGTATGAAACCGTCAAGTGGTCACCCGAGGCGACTTCGTCTGACAAGGGGGATGACAAAGAAGGTGACGGTTATGTGCAATGTCCAGTATAAATAATTGCGTAGATCTGGTAACAGGGCATTTTGTCGAAATTCTCGTGAATCGCGTCAGCAGAACCTGACCTTGTGACTCCTGGTACAGTAAAAACTACGGAGTATCTAAATGAACTGCAAATAAACATGTCTTATATTGTAGATATGGTGGTGAATGTGGTCAACGCAATAAGCAGAAATAAGGGACGACGGAGAAAAAGTGCAGAATAACAGAGACGGCTCAAAAAGAACGGTGACTTGTCGCGCAGGTGGAGCAAGATATGGTCACGAAAAACAGCCCTTCAAGTGGTGTGTTCCTGTCAGATACTGCTGCTAGCTTTGTGGCTTTATTGCGCCTCCTATATGTCGATGTGTCTGGCTGCATAGACCATGATAATGAGAAAAGCGTCATTTTGACACGGGTCCAATATTGGTGACATGGTGGTGTGACAAGAAGTGCCAGACAAAGGTGACATCACGTGAGCATGAATAATGCACGAAAATTTCGGCAACGTATACGCACCTTAAATGACCACTCTTGCGGCGCGCTAAGCTTGTGGTGCTACATGCCGCGTTCTTGCAGTACGCACGCAGTTGTGAAGCGACGCTCACACCTTGCGCAGTTTTTGGCAAACCTCCCGTCTATGTCAGAAATTGCAACCCTGGGATCAATAAGCACTACTGCGGCAGTTCATTCGACTATAACGATCATTAAATTGTTCGGCGACTGGACAAGCCTTGTAGAAGTCGCGAAGCTCGCAGTTCGTGCCTGCGAAACTGCCGCAGCTAGTTTGCTTCACTTCGCGGCTTACGACGACGTAGGCACGGTGTGTGATGGCTGGCGAAAGGACGTCGAGGGATTGGCCAACAGAAAGGGCCAGAACGCAGGGATTGACTGGTATCAGAATGCCTACCGCTGTATCCAGGTGTTGCAGCAGCTGTGCCAGCAGATGGCATGGGACGATTGTAGGGGAGCGTGACGAGGCCAGTGAAAATGCGAGTGACACATTTGGTTCACTGTAAATGTGTATGTACTTTACTTTTACTTTATCGCTATTCGCATCACTTCAGATAAATATGGGACAGCATGCTGCAAGTGTTCTATGTAACAAAGTAGAATGAAAGCACGAATGTCGCCATCAAGGTGAAATGCCAAAAGATAACGTTGCGTTTTATTCACCTAGTACATAGACTCTGTGATTTATCACCTCTTAAAACAATGATGGCATGAAGTTATTTGCCATTCTGATGGTCTGATGCCCTTGCGCATGCCTGATGGTCTAGTGCAGAAACGTCTTCGTAGCTTTTGGGAGGTCCAAATTGATTTGTGAGTTTGTGTGCTTATTCACAGCGGTTTCAGTTTCGCTTTCATAACGTTTGTACAGAAATGACAAAAAAAATATTTGCGCAGTGCGCTTGTTATTTCAGTACCTTACCACTACTGCTTATTTTAGTGCCACTCTACCAGTAGTCGTAATATAACTCTAAGGCATATGGTCAGACCCTCAGCTTCTCTTTGCAAACCAGGGTTGTTGTTTGGTAGATTAGAAAAAGGGCGAAAAGCCAAGGCAAATGCAGCCAAACTAGCCTCACCGTTGAGCTTTTGTGTCAGACGTTCAGCCAAGCAGCAAAAGAGCGTTCGAATGAATCGCTTTTTTTGTTCATCAATAAATAGGATGATTTTGATTGAGCAAAGCGTCAAATAAATACCATATTGTTTTCTAGCCTTGTGTTCTAGCCACAGACAAGATGTGAATAAATTGATGAATAATTATAGTTTACGTATGCCATTTTGCACATTATCTACAATATATGGGGCTCTTGCCAGTGTAATTTTCGGCTAACATAGTTGGATCAATGAGGGGGGAGGGTTAGACTTGCAACATAGGTTTCAAAGCTTTGCTGTAGAGCAGTGGTAATAAGACCTATGGCAAAACCCATGGCTCTAAAAGTTCGAAGAATAATAAAAATACTGACTGGTTGTATTCGAGCTCTAAGTTAGCTATGCTGCATTTATATTCAAATTTCGGCGTTTGTAGTTTTCATACATTTTAGCTTTGTAAAGGATCTTCTTTCTATACAGCTTTGTAATTTTGTAAGAAGGTAGCAAACAGCGTTTTATAAAACGTTATTTGAGACTGTGAGTGCACGAGAAAAACAAAGCTCGTTTTTTTTTGTTCAGTTCTGTCTATGAATGTAAACTGCTACCTATGAATGGCATTTTCTTATTAAAAAATTCAAGTGCACCTCTACTACAGATCCTACATCCCATCATGAAAGGTCACCAACTAACACACGCATCAATATTTGCTTGCTGCTAGACACAGTAGTATTTTAGAAGAGGGCACACAAAGAAACGTCGGAGAAAGGCACATAAAGGAATTCAACATCATGTGATTGCAAAACCACCAAACTATGTCGTTTAGACCAAAACAAGTTTCACCACACCTTAAGCGCTTAAATTGCATGTCCTTGAAACCGTAAACCAAACTTAATATAGAGTTGCCATATAACCAGCCAAGCTTCAAGCAGTGAAATCGGCTTAAAAATAAACAGTAATTTTGATGCAGAAATCTTCATTTGCCAATGTCACACAAGGACATGCACAGTGCGTCAGTATTAGAAACTGGCGTTCGCTGTCAGTGGTGTGCTACATAGCCACGCGTTTTATATAAGCGCAACTTTGTGCCCTGGTTTCCACTGACGCGTCGCATGCTGCATTCCTCAATGAGTACCAGCTCAGTCGAACGGGCAGACATGCCGCGCGCACCCGCCAGCACGAATGAAAAAAAAAAAGAATAACTACTCCTTAGGCTTGCTCACTATTTTATCTGCATATAAAAAAGTAGCGAGTAAATAGGCTAAAATATCAATGAATATAGTAATCTGAAAGTAAACCATGAAGTTAACATTAAATTTACACGGCCCGACAGAGCCGTAAAATAGCAAGTTCGACGCAAAGTACCCCCGAAAAAAAAAAAGAAACTGCTTCTAATTTTAGCTACCGTAAACGCACTCTTTCCGTTTGCCAACCACTGACTGCTTTGAGAGTCAAATGAAAACACTTCTGAATTATCTGTCACCACCAGAGTTATTTTAATTACTACCATGGTATGCGTTAAGGACCCTGAAACCGCAATCAGAACATGGACATATATCTCATGAGGCGCCACATAAGCAGCACTGATCGATGCAACACCTGTATTGTCGCACAGTCCCGTTTTATTCATAATATTTGAAGTGGCACTAAGAGACAAATAAAGGCAACTCACAAATTCGCTGGAAATAGGCGCTCTTATCAACTCCTTCGAAAGTTCTCTGAAGCAGTCGGAGGACGCCCTGGCGTTGCCGTCAAGACGCGATTGCCAAGGCTGGCGGCGTGTTTGTTATGTGTGGCCGGCTGCTCCGAGTCGAGTGACTTAAACACTCTCGTATGGCCTTACTTGAAGGACGGGTATTGAGGAGGTTAAACTCTTCGTAAAAACATCGCGCGGAATCTGCAGAGTGTTCCGTATTTACCGTAACTTCCGCTTAAACTTCGCCTACAGCAAGTGATAGAGGGAGATGAAACCGTTGTAATCTCGCAGCGCTTGACGAACAAAATGACAGTATGTTTGTTATCGCGCCCGCCGGGCAACGCGTGTCGGTTACAGAGGGCTGCCATGAGTGTGTGTATGTGTTTGTTTTAGCCCTAAACGTCCACACTCGCAGACGCATGGCCATAGGCCAAAACGGCAATAAAAAAATCATCGCCATCACCCAGTAGAGTCTCGAGTTCAAACACACACACACACACACACACACACACACACACACACACACACACACACACACACACACACACACACACACACACGCACGCACACACACACACACATGCACAAATACACGCACACACACACGCACGCACTACACACACACACACGCACACACACAGACACACACACACATGTACAAACACAGACACACACGCACACACACACGCACGCATGCACACACGCACGCACACACACACACATTCACAAATACACGCACGCACTACACACACACACGCACACGCACACACACACACTCACACACAAACACACACACACACATACACACACACATGTACGCACGCACGCACGTGCGCGTGCGCGCGCGCGCACACACACACGCACTGCCTGCGCCGCGAGCATTTCGCCTACCAATAACTTCCTGATGATCTCTCACTTATTTACAAAGTGATATTATCTTATGGAGGTATTTTTTGACCTCCCGAGTAGGAAAAAAAAGTGAAGGCCCCGAACAAACAGTGAGTTTTTTTTTCGTGCATCGGCGAGAATCTCACTTGAGCCTCGTCTCTTACAGCTCCCGCTCATGCCCAGGGTTGCCAGGCTTGGTTAATGTGCGCCAGTTTGCTTTTTTTTATATTTACCAGAGGCGCCAGAAAAAAAGGCTTTTGCTTCTAGGCTACTTTTTGGCTAGTTTTTCGTTGCCTCGATTTAAACCAAATTATTCATATCTTGGTCATTGCAGCCCTTTGCGTTCGAGTATACAATGTTTTCTTCGTCTGTTAAAGATTTATGTGCTAAGAACATATCAAATCTCAAAAGATGGCGACCGAGGTGTGTTTCTAGATTCCTAAATTGAATTTGGAGCTTGTGTTACACAAAAGAAAAGCCTTTAGTTAAGTGGCTTGGACTAGTGAGAACACCGTTCTATGATGCCTCCATCACCTGCTGCTGAACGCGACAATAAACCTCAATTGGAAGTGAAATGGACGATCAAAAACGAGCAATCATCAGCACTAGAAATTGTGTGTATATGCGATGAACGGTTCGTGTCGTTTCTTAGAATTAAGTGCTACGGTCTGGAACTCGCACGGGCCTGTTTCCCATTTAGGCCTGTTCCTCACCTTGCCGCATGGTCATACGTCAGCTTCTTCGTTGAAGCTGCCCATAGTGTTCAAATGTGAATTTCGAAGCTTATGTTATTTTTTAGATGTGAAGTGTCATATGGGTGAGCTCAATCCGGTGTGCCGCATGACCATCCTGGCAGTGTATTCATGACCCTCCCCCTCTTTCCTCTCCTTGTCTCCTCTAGGCATCTCTCCCAGGAACGCAGCGACCAGTGCAGCCGCAAGAATTCCTACGTCTCATGGAATGCGTTCAAATCCTCCAGCCCTTCCCACACCGTCCTTCCGATCACAAGGCAATATTTGTCTCCCTTGATCTGGCCACTTCAACACACGTCTTTCTTGGTGGCGCACGTTTTCGTGCGCCGCCAAGCTGTTAGACCACATTTAACGCCAGCCTACGACGAACCATTTCACGTCCCTAACAGCACCCAGAAAACTGCCACTCGACTACAAAGCGCCTGCCAAGAAAAAATCAGCTTAGACCACCTTAAGCTGGCGTACCTGGAGGCCGCCATTAAAGATCACAGCATATAGACGGAATGCATGATAATGAGTGGGGCGAAGCGTCCATCAGTCCGTCGGCGCCTCCGTCTGTGTGTGCGTCCGTTTGTGCGACCATCTATGCGTTCATCCGTCCGTTAGTGTGGCCATCCATGCGTCCATCAGTCCATCCATGCATCCATCCGTCCATCCGTGCGTCCTTTCGTGTGTCAATCCATCTTTGCGTCAGTCCGTGCGTCCATGCATATGTCTATCTGTCCGTCCGTCCATCTAGTGAACACTCCGAGTACTGCAATCTCGCATCTTTTCATCGTATAGAAGTACCACCATCCCGCGGACATTCCAAGTACTAAACGAAAAGTGGCCCTGGCTGGACTAGAGCAGCTGCAAGCGCGCACTCTCTTACGGCCTGCGCTTCGTGTCTAGTGTCCGCCTTTCGCCACCGCTAGTTCGTGGAACTGCTGCCCAAACTCGCTGAACCTTGCTAAAACCAAGGAGGTTACGCCAAGGGAGTTTATTGTGGCAACCATTCTGGTAAGGTAGTGTTCAAAGTGCGTCCTTTCTGTTACTAGTTTCCTTCTCTTTTTGAAAGCATCAAATTTAAGGCAAATTTTATTGGAGATTATGTCACCAATATTCGTCTCTGTAAGTTAGTTCATCTGAAACAACTATGTTTTTTTATGATTAACGTACTCAGGTTTCTTTCTCAATTCAAAAGAGAGCGCTTGTGCTGCTCTTCTAGTGCGGCCGTGGAGGTGGCTACTTACTGCTACTACTACGACGGACGACTACTACTACTACTACATACATCACGATTCATGACCCACGGCTTAAGGAGCTTCGCCCCTAAAGGCCTCTCATCTACGACGGGCCTCCCGTTGGGATGCCCAAAACGTGTCATATTTCGACTTCATGTCTCCACACGCGCGGGGGGGGGGGGGGGGGGAGTAGCACTCTTGCTTGGACGGCGCTTGGCGTTGCACGTGAAGCCAAGGCTCGCGTTCCCTGCCGGCGTCGATTGTTGTTCAGGCGTCTCTTTCATTCGCTGCTACGGCGTAATCCGACAACCCAATGGTTGCTGCCGACATCCTTGCGTGGTCAAGGCTAACTGTAGCAATTTCAAATCACCGTGCTGGCACATTGAAATGTGCTCAGTCGGAAGAGGTGTCGGACATAAACAGCTTTGAAAAAATCTCCTTCGTCGAAACGTTCATAGCTCTCTTGCTACCACAGTGATCACAAAGAGGGGTGTTAGCCATACCAATGAGAAAGCAAAACTAGTTCATCAATGATGGTTAATTATCGATCATGAATGAACACCTGGTCCAATCACCGATTTGATTATACTTCATGAAACTCTCTCTTAGCCACAACCGTTAAAGCAGAGTGGTCTTTTTTGGTACAGTCAAGGTGGAATGGGAAGACCAAGCGTACGGTTTGGGTGATGAGGCCTTTTGTGGTTGCTGCTAGGTGTGTGTAATATCTTGGGCTATCACTCGAAGCTGGATAGCAGCATACAGGAGTCTTTACAGGAGCCTCGACTATGTAGCCTTGAAGTGCTGATCACGCAGCATTATCAGCGTGTCCATTCTTGAAGAGCTGATCGCGCATGATTATCATAATGCCCATTGCTCACCATCCAGCTTTGTCTTTGCAGACATAAACCGTGATGCGGCGTCCCTTCTCGAATGTGAAATGGAGGAGATACCAAGCCTCGAAAACCATATGTTCTTTTCTGCAAAGCTGAGAGAAATGATCGTATAGCTGCTTTTCAATCACTGGATATCGATCGTCGTTGAGACTACTTGCAATCCTACAAAAGTGTAAGAGTAACCCCAAACATAACCACAATATGCGTTAAGTTCATACGCGTGGCTACATATATAACAATTCGTTTCAGTTCTGCACTCTTATGCAAGGGCTGTACAGACCAGAGGGAAACAACAGTATTCACAGACGTTACCGGAAACGTTAGCCTGGTTTATTACCAGGATTGCTACTCCAATTGTCAGGTGACGACTATGATGTACACACTGAACCCATATACAAAAATATAACGCGTACACTCACAAACACACATATATGTACAAAAGAATCGTTAATAAAGTTATGCACTAAAGAATCGTTAATAAAGTTCTGTTATGTTCCCTCAAGAACACCAATTGTCATTTTGTGTTGCGCATTCGCCCAACCACTGTCTTGCCACGGCGCCGCAGGTCCACACTAAACCCGCGTAGCAAATGCAGTGCTTCCTTCAGAATCTGTCCTTCAGCGTCTTAACGGGAACGATCACATAGGGCGTGTTTAAAGTCTTCTATGCAGTGCTAGATGTGGGACACGTAGGCAGCTTCAACTGTCTGATCTTGTGCTTGAAGTACTTCGCATAAAGAGAGTCGAGTCTCAGCGGGAAATGCACATTTCCTTTTGCTTGCTTAGTCCTTGTGACGTATGAATGATACACGTCAAGTAGATTCTCTTCAGTGGTGCGTGCTGGTTATTGCTTGGCAACGAATTGTTCGCTCAAGATTCCACGTGAATGCATATAGCGAAACCGCTGTGTCTTTTGTTGCCAAATTTTCGGGACTTCTCTTGAACGAAAGTTGCCCATTTTTTCAGATCCCACGTCATGGGCTGTGAAGTCAGCAGGAACGTTCCCTTCTATCCCCTTTATGCGCTAAGAATAATGCGCTTTTTAGGAATTTGTATAATTCACGTAGCATTATTTTTAAGCACTCTATTATATTCCACAAAACGAAATGAAGTGAGGCTTTGTTTAGTGCGCGTTTCAGTAATAATTGCATTTAGGACGCAAATAAATACCTTCATTCGGCAGCCAGTCATGTTTCGTTATCACCCCACCTCGGTGGTCTAGTGGCTAAGGTACTTGGCTGCTGACCCGCAGATCACAGGATCGAATCCCGGCTGCGGCGGCTGCGTTTACGATGAAGGCAGAAATGTTGTAGGCCCATGTGCTCAGAT